GCGTAGCCAAATCCATGAGCCCAGGCCAGTGAGAGACCCATTTCATGGTGGAGGCAGGGCTGGAGAGATGGCTCCGAAGTTAAAGAGTACTCATTTCTTTTGTAAAGTTAAGTTCTATGAAGGGTAGCTCATAACCACATGTAGCTCTAGCTCCACATCTGACACTTCTGACCTCTCAGATGGTCAGCACTCATGTGCACATACCAGACACATGTAATTAAAATATTTTAAAAAGCAGAAACTAAAAATGAAAAACAGCCTATGCGGCTAGCGACTGGGGAATGACACCTGAGACTGACCTCTGGCCTCCACCTGCCTTGTTCACAGGCGCACGAATAGCAGTTCCCCCATGTGTACCTGCACAACAAGCACGGAAATACACGGGCTCACCCACACTCGTGCACACCTCCTCCCTCACACATGCTCACAGTTGGCCATCGAAGCTCTTTTGAAATGTATGGGTATTTAATATTAAACACATTCCCACTGCTGTACAGTCTTAACCACAATTCATCATTTTACAGAGCTGAAACTCTACATCTATTAAACAATAACTCCCCACTTCCTCCTCCCTCCAGCACCTGACATTTTATTTTATCAACTTGACTTATTGGGTGTGTCATACAAACTCACAGTGTTTGTCACTTTACAACTGATTGAATTCACTTGGTATAATGTCCTCAAGTTCATTCACTTGTGGCATCTATCAATTTCTTTTTTTATTTGAATGCTAACATTTCATTTCATCTTATTGTTATGTTTTAAAATATTTATCATTCATTTATTTGTGTATGTGTGTATCTGTATGAGTACAAGTGCCAGCAGAGGCTAGAAGAGGGCATCCATTCTCCAGGAACTGGAGTTTCAGATGGTTGTGAGCTGCCATGTGGGTGCTGGAAAGCAAACTTGGGTCCTCTGCAAGGACCAGTGCCATCTCTCCAGCCCCTAGCATTCCATTTACATAACAAATGCTACATTTTGTTTACCTACCCATGTGTCAAGGGACACGATTTATTTTCTTACACTTTGGGGTAATATGTTACTGTAAACATGGGTTCATAACTACCGCAAGTCTTTACTTTCACTTCTTAGAGGTATATACCAAAAAGCAAGTTTATATTTGCTTTTTCTTCCTTCCTTCCTTCCTTCCTTCCTTCCTTCCTTCCTTCCTTCCTTCCTTCCTTCCTTCTTTCCCTTCCTTCCTTCCTTCCTTCCTTCCTTCCTTCCTTCCTTCCTTTCTTTTCTTTTTCTTTTCTTTTTTTTTAATAGAAAGCAAATGCTTTTAATTTTAACAAATTTTAAGTAAAATAAGTCCACATTCTATTTCCTTGGGTCTGCTATTTGGTACCCCACAGTCAGATAATCTTGGGATTTATGTTTGCCATGCTGGGTGAAGGCAAATGGGGTGAGTTAAAAGCCAAAGCTCTGTCATCTAGAACAGCCGAGAGTCTCCAACCCAGATTGTGCTGGATACTTGGCTTTCTGCATCTCGAAGATGGCTCTTGGTACAGTTTGAGCATAATTACCGAGAAGTCACAAGGAGCTACTTGTGGGAACTGGATTTCTCAGACACCACGTGCCATTAGTGAAGCTGTGGAGAATAGAACATGGGCTCTGGAATCACGCATAGATTTGACTATTGGCTCAGTCATCAGTTTTGACTTACTGCTCAGGCCCTTATCAGCTCTTTGCAAGTATTTTCTTTTTATTTGTAAAACAGGTATAATAGCACCTGCTTCCTAGCATTATTGGAGGGACTGAATGAGTTAATACTTAAGTGCTTAAAATACCTGACATAAACTCTCAGAAAATGTTGGCTAGTAATAGTATTAATTAGTGGGAGTTGCCACATGGCTTTCCTTAGAGCCTTGAAAATGAGATGAATAGGATTACATTCGGTGAGCTAAACTTTTTGCTAAACTATGTGCTATCGGTCAAAAAGATGTATAGCAGAGGTCTGGCAAAGTCCTGCACAGTCACTAAAGGCCGATGGTCACAAGTGCGTGCACAAGTCAAGATATGTAAAGAAAAAAGATTTACTGTCAGGTCAGGGGGTGAGGATTAGACCGTAACTTGATGAAGTTATTGAATATCAAGAAATCTGGGTGTGGAGCCTCACACCTGGAATCCCACATTCAGGAGGCTGATGGGGGGAGATTGCCTAGAGCTGGAGGCCAGCCTGGGCTACACCGGGACTACTAGGACAGCCTGGGCTACACAAAGAGAACTTGTCTCAAACAACATTATCAACAACAAATGACAATAGAAAATCAATATGTTAAACACAGCAGGAGTCAGTTATAGACCATGCCGTCTCTTATAGGCCCCACACACCCAGACACTCCAGGAGACAGAAATCCCTGCACATACCTCATTATTTTATCCCAAACGACAGGTGTCTGTCTTCGGAATCAGACAGCACAAACATTTAACTCAGACAGTCACATGCTCGAATCCTCATTCAAATCCAGCGAGCTTCTGATTATAATTCATACACAGGGAGGACTGCAAAGCTGGATGACTTAGATGTTTGTGTGCACATGCAGCTGTAGGCCCCACTGGAAATCAGTTTACTGGGCATCTTTACATGCCAGCCTTGGGAGCTTTGTAAATCTGTCTACTTCTGATCCACATCCGTTCTTTTCAAATTGTCTACATATATAACTGGGCCTACAAAGCTGAGAGCTGAACTCTGAGCCAGACTTTTTCAGGTCTGTATCAGTAACTGGTTTAATTTGTTGGCTTCTATTTTATTTATTTGGAACTTCATTTTGTGTGGTACAGTGATATTTCTCCCCCTATCCCCCCAGACAGAGTTTCTCTATGTAGCCCTCTCTGTTCTGGAACTCTGTGTAGATCAGGCTGGCCTTGAACACACAGAGATCCATTTGCCTCTGCCCTTGAGTGCTAGGATCAAAGGCGTGTGCCACCACATCTGCTGGTAGTGATATTTTTCAATATTACCATTGCCAGTTTGTTAAAGAGGGTCAGAGCATCCAAACTTTCGCTCTCTCAATCTCTGGAGCAGCCATACATGAGCAGGAGCCCACTGTGCAGTGAGTGAGCAAGACATGTCACTGTGTGTAAGAGCTCACTCCTTTGAAAAGTTGCTTTGCTGTGTATTTTCTTAGAGGAGGCAGAGCTCAGAAGTTCCTTAAAGAACATAGCTGAGGTGGGAGAATGCTTGGCTAGCATACACAAGGCCTTGGGTTCAAATACTGATTACCCTAGAAACTGGGTGTGGTGGTGCATGTCTTCTAATTCGATCGCTTGGGAGGATCAGGAGGTTCAAGATCATCCTTGCTCTTACTCCTGCTTTTGCAGAAACATTACTTTTTTTTTTTTTTTTTTTTGTTTTAGGAAAGTTATGTCTGGCATTGGTGATGCATGCCTTTGATCCCTGGTTTGGTAGGCAGAGGCAGGTGAATCTCTGAGTTCAAGGCCAGCCTGGTTTACAAAGTGAGTTCCAGGACAGCCAGGGCTACTGTAGACAGGTTGTAGACAGTGACACCCTGTCTACAAACAAACAAACAAACAAACAAACAAAACCTCACTGTGTAGCCCACATGTGGCTAAGGCCATACATTTTTTTTATAGTATTGGCCTGAACTTGTGACCTGTTGTTCATGTTCCTTTTCTGAGGTCCAGGCCTGTCTAATTAGTATAAATATGTAATGATCCAGGGCATTTCCCTTTCCTATAAGTCTGCCAACATTTCTCCTCTGGTTATATACCACGGAAATCCAAATTCATGTTTGAAACTTGAGTTCACAGATTTCAGACTGTGTACTTTGAGACCCGAGGGACGTTGTGGTCTACTTCACCTCTTTGAAGATTCATTTTATAGCAATGATTTTATCTTCTTAATTTGGCAGGAGAGGCGCTAAGGAATAAAGCCAGGGTCTTGTGATGTTAGGTGCATACTATGGAGTTAGGTGCTCAGCCCCTGATTCTATTCTTAGAATAATTAGAAATGCCAAATTCCTTATGTTGCTGTTCTTTTTTTCCCCCCAAACATAGCATTCCAATTTATGGACATAGGGTTTTATAATTTAATAATAATATTCAATGTATCTCTTTAGATAATAATCACTGTATACATTTGATAAAATTATATTCCATTATTTTGATCAAAATCTGCAGGCTAAAGACAGAAATTTTCTTTAAAGATTTTATTCATGTTTGTTTTAATGACAATTTACATTTCTATTCCTAAGACAATTTTTTATCTCCTCCTCTCCTTTCATGGAATATTATGGGATTTAATGTTAATTTTAGCATACTACTTATTAAAGTAGCATGATTTTGAGTCAGCTTTGACTCTGTATGTGAAAATGTAATGGGAATTTGCATATGAATGTACTTTTTCTATAGTATGAATTTATATATTACCAAGGGAGAAATGAAACAGCAAATGTGGATTATATATAAGCAATGTAATATTTTTCTTTTCTTTTCTTTTTTTGACACAGGGGTTCTCTATATAGACGTGGCTGTCCTGGACTCACTTTGTAAACCAGGCTGGCTTCAAACTCAGAGATCCACCTGCTCTGCCTCCCGGAGCTCTGGGATTATAGGCTCAGCTAAGCAATGTAATTTTATTTAAGTGACTCAGAGGATTAATCAAGGAAAATTTCTTAAAGGAACTATATTTTGAAGAATTTAAGAGGATGTACACATATAGATTGGCAAAGAAGAAGAAGTCGGAAAAATGGAAAGAAATATACATACATTTTTGCATTGTGGAGCTACAGTAGAAAAGGGATAATGGTAATAGTTACAACCAAAGATATTTTTTGGAGGGTGGTTAAACAGGCACTGGTCCAGAGTGGATACAGGATGGTGAGGAGTAGTGGCTGGTGAATTTATTGAGATGGAGAATCAACTGTGCTCCCTACATTTTGAGTGGATATTGTGTTATATGTCACAGAGGAAGGGAAATTAAAAAGGAGGGAGAAAAGGAGAGGGAAAAAAAGTGGGAGAGGGAGGGGGGGAAGGGGGAGAGGAGAGGAGAGAGGAGAGAGAGAAGGAGAAAGAATGCACTTGAGTACTTAATTTAGAGTGCCCTATAGGAAATTGCTATCTTGATGATAAGGAAATAAAGAACGTTGGAAGCCAGAGAGAGTGGTGTGGAGTTTAGTATAGTACACGATGGAGGTGCCTTTGAAGATCCTCACACATCATCCTGCCCCTATGATCTACTTGGGAGGGAGAGTTCTGAGTTGGAAAGATCACACTGGGTTTCCAAAAAGTCAAGTTTTGTAGCCACATGTAACCAATTTGCAGAAGAGCTTTTATGTACACAAAACAATTCTGAATCACTTTAGAAAAAAATGGGTTGCCCCAAAATCTTTTGACCATAGTCAATAATCAGTGAAAAACCACTGCTTTGCCCTGGAGACAGCACTTAATGTCAGTAACTTTAGGTGTTCTCTAATTTTACAGCATATGTTATACTGAAACCAATTTAGGAAGCTATTTAATCCACATCCCTTTTGGAAGGATAATGTGGGTAGGCTAGAGCAATGACACTCCTTTTCTGCTTCAAAACATGTATGTTGGGGCTGGAGAGATGTCCTAATGGTTAACAGCACTGTGCTGTAATAGCTGTGCTTCCAGAGGACCCACATAGCAACTTACAACCGTTTGTAACTCCAGTCTCAGGGGGTCTGATGTCCTCTTCAGGGCATTGTACACACATACATACATAGACATACATGCAGGCAAAATACTCATACACATACAAATAATAAAATAAAATTTAAGAAAATATTTATTTTGTTACTATTACTTTCAGAAAGAGCAAGTTGCTCATGCTAATTTTGGATTATGTTGAAAATTGTATCACTTATTGTGGTTGTTAGAGTAAATAATCAGGTTTTGCTTTTATGACATCAGTTTATCCCCAGTCAGAGCCAGGAGAGAGACTGTCTAGTTTTTGCTTACCTGTCTAGTAGATTGTTTGTCTTGATGAAGACAGTGTTTGTGTCTCCCATCTCTGTTCTTTTTTTTTTTTTTTCCTTTGCCTCTCTGCTGCTTACAGACTTGTCTGTGACCTCCACCACCTTCTCTGGCTTGCCTGTGGAAGGTTCTCTGAGGTCTTCGGCCTCGAAGGATGACATTTGAGGCATATTCAAGTGCTTCACCACATTCTGTGGGTTTTGTCCTATATGGGTTGGCGGTAGATCTTTATAAGGTACCAGCATGAAAACAATAGGAGTCCTGAGGTCCTGACTCAGCCTGAGTTGCCATTATCCAGGAGCAGCATTGTTTAGGGGATGGCTTCCCAGAGCTGCCCGAGCCTTCATGTTCTGATGCTCTTTTTGCTGGCTCTGAAATACATCAATAAAATAGGGCTTCACACCTGTTATGGAGTTTATTTCATAAGCATTGTACCTGTCGGCCAGTATTTGCCCAGGTGTAAAGGGTGGGAGAATAGTTGATCCTGAGACACCACTAACAAAATTGTTGAGAATAAAATGCCAAAGGCCACCACTTATTGGACTCAAAGCAACCTGGGGCTGTAAACTGGCCAGACCCTAAAGAGCCTCATGGTTGCATGCTGAGGTAGGAAATTGATTCTCAGTATGAAAGATGAGAAAAGAAAATACTAAGAGTGACATCTGAATACATCATCAGGAAACTCTGCATTTTGCTAATGCAGCAGTGGTTAGCCTCATTACAAGGAGAGTTGTTGGAATATAGGATGATACGTTTGATGTTGCTGTTATGGGATATGGATGAGTCACGGTGACCATCCCTCTCTAACAGCATTGAACCTGGGTGGCTGTGATTCCCAGTGCAGTTACTAGCACGGCCCTTTTGTATCAAGTCCCCAGAGGAACTTCTCAGCTCATAGAATGTGAGGTGTTTTGTTTGAGGGTTTGTAGACCATGAGAATCCAAAAATGTGTTGGAATTCTGTGTAGGAAACGTCTTCGCCTGTCCGAATGTGGTAAGGCTAGTTAGAGCAGTCTAGGGGGAAGCTTAGCCAGTGGTGAGGTTTGACCATCGTTCCACCATGAATTAGAACTCCTCAGACAGAGGCTCCATCGTTGACTTCATTATCTTCTAGCTGCAGATCTAAACAAGGAAGAGAAATTAGCCATGAAACTATAGTGGGAAAAACTGAAGACAGCGCATATATTTACCAAGCTCTAGTTTCCTTTGAGGAAGCTAGCACAACGGCACAGTCTCTAGAAAAGCATATTTTATCCTAAAGGTGAGACATAGGAAAGTAGATTACAGAGTTCAAGATTCATTTTCCCTTGTTGAGGCTGTGGTGGGTGCGGGGGAAAGGGGGAGACTAAAGAGAAATCAGAATACAACTTTGCCGGTTTCATGGAGTCCATGTCTGTAGAGCAGCTGGGTTAACAGACTGCCTACATTCAAGGCTGGGCTGTTCTGCTTCTTGAGCTTAGTGGTTCTTAGCTTTGGTAAGTCCATGGGCCTCTAGAGCCACAGCTTCCTTGGCTACAAAGATGATAATAGTATGTACTCATAAGGTTGTCTTAGGATTAACTAATATCATGTATATATATATATACATATATATATACATATATAATATATGTATATAATATCTAACTCTTCACTGTGTGCCAGACATGACTCAACCAACCGTAGCTCTTAGTGGCAGCAGTACAAGTCCCATAGTGATCCCTACTTGGGAAAGCCCAAAGAAGCGAGCAGGCTTTGTTGTTTTGTTCCTGGTTTCTTCCTTTGACTCTTATCTGAGAGTGGTCCCGGCTGATGGACAGGACCTGGGTTTTGAATGTGCTTGCCTTTTGAATGAGCCGTTTCTGAAAACCACTGGCAGTAATATGAAGATGCTGTATTTTTCAGAGTTGGCTCGCAGGGTCAGTTTTGCTGAAGGTCAGAGACTTCCAGAAGTACCACTTGTGTATTGTCTGGCTATTGGGCACAAATTCACCCACATCTGAGTGCTTATTTTCAGTTGGTGGGCCTTGTTGGAGGGGTTTCCAAAAGTACTATAATGGAAACATATTGTTTCTTTAGAATATAGAAAATCAGTGCTTTCTGGGATATTCAATCCCAAATGTTGAGATCCTTAAGTAATGGCTATTCTTTTAAACATATTTCTCGAGTTATTATGTTTTTTTTTTTTAACCTGGGGCATTATGATATAGATGTTAAACCATTTTAAGCTACTGTGTAAGTACCAGGTGTTTCATGTAGAGAATAACTGAATGTATAGAAAAAAGAAGAAACTCACCAGTTTGTATGCGTTTATATTACAATTACTGATTATAGGTCTCTTCTTTCAGTCTCTCTCCCTCTCTCTCTCTCTCTCTCTCTCTCTCTCTATATATATATATATATATATATATATATATATATACACATATACACAGACATATACACACACATACATGTGTGTTCTGTATTCCATAGACCATGTTTTATAACCTTATCTCACTTGTAGAGCACCATAGAATTTTCCTGTTAGAAAAATTACTCCAAAAAGCAATATTCATGGTTAGTTAGCATTTTATTATATAACTATAAAATTTAAATTTTTGCCTCTTTTAAATATTAACAGCATTTTGATGAATGTTTTTCTAAGTAAATTGTTTCTGTGTCTGATTCCTTTCAGTTAGTGTAGATTATCCTTAAGTCATTGTATTTGTCAAATTGTTTCCTAGAAAGGCTAATTCATCTTCCTGGGTCCCAGTGGTCATTGTCACCCCATTTGCCGCTTTGACAGGTATGCACTGGTATTATCTGGTTGTTGGGATGCATACGTTTTCTCTTCCCAGTGAGCCTGAACATATTTCACTGGCTTATGGGTCTGTAGCACTTATTTTTCTCTAAACTGTTCTTGATCCCTCATCTCCTTTTAAACCTCATGTTTTCTGTATTGATTTGCAAGAGCTCTTTATGTGTCAATAGTCTTATGTCTATCATTTCTTAAAAGTGGAGAGTGCTGAGATGGCTCAGTGGTTAAGAGTACTTACTGTTCTTGCAGAGTACCCAGGATTGGTTCCTACGACCTACATGATGGCTCACAACTGTAACTCCAGTTTCGGGGGATTTGATACCCTCTTCTAGCCCCTTTGGGCACTAGGCACACATATGGTGCACATCCCTACATGCAGCTCCATACATGTACAATACACTTGTACATATAAAATAAAAAGTAAACCTTTAAAACATTATCTGGTTTATAGAGCCCCTTGATTATGTTTGTCTTTTATTTTTTAATTTATTTTTTGTTTTATTACACAGGGTTTCATAAGGCCATTTTCATGCAAGCAAATAATATAGTTTGAGTATTTCCCTATTGATGTTATTTAATTGCACCAAATTCTACATTTTATGTGGTGAGTCTTTATTTTGTGGTTAATTTTTTGTGTTGTATTCAGAAAAGCCCTTTTCATTAAGCATGATTAACTAGTCCTCATAACTTTCCTCAGTATTTATTGATTGATTGTCAGTCACATTACTGTGGAAGTGCTGCCATTGAGCTGTATCTCCAACCCTTTTTCAGATTCTGTTTTTCTGGGGGATGAAGGTATGCAACAAAATCTCCTGTAGCCAAGACTGACTTTGAACTCCTCATCCTCCTGCCTTGACTTCTTGCCTTCCCAGGTGCTGTGGTTATGAGCATCTACCATCATTCTAGTCCCCCCTTTTTTAAATTTTGATACAGAGTATCATTAAGTTGTCCTCCATGGTCCAGGCTAGGTTTGAATTTGTAACTCTCCTGCTTCAGTCTCCTGAGTTCCTGAGTAGTGGAGATTATAGACACGCACCCCAGGTTAGGCAAAGTATTTGTGGCTTGGTTATTCACATATATCTTTGCCCAGACAGCAAGACAGGTAAGGCAGATAATACAAATCAGGTAAACTATTATATCCATATATATATATATATATATATATATATATATATATATATATATATATATATATATATATATATATACACTTTATTTATTTGGTTTTCTTTTTCTGAGACAGGGATTCTCTGTGTAGCGTTGGCTGTCCTGGACTCGCTTTGTAGACTAGGCTGCCCTCAAACTCACAGAGATCCTCCCTAGTGCTGGGATTACAGGCATATGCCCAAGCCCAGCTCTGAATGTATTTTTCACTTAGACTTTGACAATTGAAGTAAGTGTTTGCTTCAGTGGCCTTACACTTCAGTTTTATCATTGTCTCTCCCATGGGAACATTTTGATGCCCTGTCTTCTCGGTTTATTTATTTTCTCTCTGTGTTATATGTGTACATGTGTGTATATGTGTTTAGCAGTGCACTCTCCTGTGGAGGCCAGAGATTGACTTCATGTGTTTTTTTCTTTCTACTTTTTTTTTTTTTTTTTTCCAAGATAGAGTTTCTCTGTGCAGCCCCAGCTGTTCTGGAACTTGCTCTGTAGACAGGCTGGACCTGTCTCTCCCTGGGATTAAAGGTGTGTACCACCACCGCCCAGCTCACATATTTTTCTTTATTGATCTTCATCTTAGCTTTTGAGGCAGGCTCTCTTCCTGCACCTACAGCTTACAGTTTCTGCTGGACTGTTTAGCCATACGCCCCAGGGATCTGACTGTCTTTGCCTCCCACCAGGCTCCGGGTTCACAGACATGCGCCTCTGTGACTGACTTTACACATCTTGGGGATCCAAACTTACAGGCTCAGGCTTGCACAGCAAGCGCTTCACCCTCTGAGCATCTCTCCGCAATCTGACTTCCCGGTTCAGAGGAACCCAGACACTATTTCATTTGATTGCATGAAACGTGTGAGTTTCCTGTGGGAATCTTATGGAAAATGTTTTAGAAGCTCTAGTCTAGCTGGGGATGAAGTATGACTGTGTTCAAGCTACCATTATTCAATGGCTAACAGCCCTGAGGTAACTCTGGCACCGAGGACCTCAGATTATAGTTTTTGTTTGTTTGTTTTGTTTTGTTTGTGTGTTTTGATCACTATATAGTCGTAGCTGGCCTGGCACCTGCCGTGTAGACCAGGCTGGCTGGCCCCCTGACTCTGGGAGTTAGATGTGTGCCACCCCTGGCCTACACTGTAGATTTGTGTCCATCCCTGAAGCTAATTTAACCTGCAGGATTTGGTGTTTGTCTCAGCTCCCTCCTTAGGACAACATATTCCTGATGCAGCTGATCCCTTTAAGACTTCCTAGTCCTTGGAATCACTTTGCTCTGGAAAACTGGTTTTAGCCCTTGGCAAAGGACAGGTGTCTTGGCACCTAAAACGATTTCCTGCTAATCTTGAGCATCAGTCCTCCCTGACCTCCTCAGGCAAACTCATCAGTCTGCTGTCATTGCTTGTTAAGACTAAGCCTAAATTTATACCCATAAGTTTTGTGCCTTTAGTGTGGCTCACCACTGAGTGACATCCAGTTCATCATTCCAATTACAATCCCAGCCCACCAAAACTTTGGGCAGAGCTCTGGGAGTCATATGGAAGAGTGGGGGGATAGAAGGATCTGGAGGGGATAGGAGCTCCACAAGGTGACCAACAAAGCCAACCAATCTGGGCACAGGAGGGCCTGCAGAGACTGTCGCACCAACCAAGGACCATGCATGGAGAGGAACGAGAACCCCTGCTCAAATGTAGCCAATTGACAGCTTAGTCTCCATGTGGGTTCCCTAGTAAGGGGAGCAGGGGCTCTCTCTGACATGAGTCATTTGCCAGCTCTTAGATCACTTCTCTCTGGTGGGGCGGCCTAGCCAGGCAACAGAGGAAGAGGATGCAGGCAGTCCTGATGATACTTGATAGGCTGAGGTCACATAGTAGGGGAGGAGGGCTTCCCCTTTCTGAGGACTAGGGGAGGGGAGTATGGGGGAAGGGGGAGGGAGGATAGGACCCGGAGGAGATGAGGGAGGGGGTTACGATCAGGATGTAAGGTGAATAAATTATAAAAAAGGAAAAAAACCCAAACATTTCTTATTAATTAAAAATGTACAAAAAATAAAAAAAAAAGGGGGAAAATAAAACAATCCCAATCCACCAGAGAAAAATGCAGTGACACAGAGATGAATACAAGAGAACAAAAGAAA